CTTAATCCAGCGCTGATTTGAGGGGTAGAACACTCATTTTGCATTGCCGTGCACCAGCTGGTTGGGCTTGTTTTGGGAAGTGCTTGTTTTGGATTCTCATGAGCCCGGTGTATTATGAGAAACTGGCAGTGTCTCCATGGGGACTGTGGGGCTGGTTTTGTGGGGGGAAAGCAACATTTGGGGGGCAGTGTGTGTTGGGCTCATGCCTCCGTTCTCCCTCACAGTCCTGTTTGCCATGAAGGAGGGGAATGAGAAGGTGCCCACGCTGCTCACGGACTACATCCTCAAAGGTATCCACTCACCTCGTACATCCCCCATGCAATCCTCATGCATCCTTCATGCAGCTCCCTTGCAGCTCTTGTGCCTCTGTGCATCCACCATAGATCCCCTCTGCATCCCTGTGCATCTCCCTTGTGTTCTTCATGCACCTCTTGTGCATCTTTCATGCATTTCCCAACCATCTTGTGTGTATCCCTGGTGCATCCTTCATGCATCTCCGGCGCATCCTTTGTGCATCCTCCATGCATCCTCTGTGAATCCTGGGTGCAGTTCCTGTGCATCCCCTGGGCAGGCCTTGTGCATCCTCACACACCTTTGTAGATTGTTGTGCATCATCCCTGCAACTCCCTTGCACCATTACATGGCCTTTCTGCTTCCTTCATGCAGCCTCGTGAACCCCTGTGCACCTTCTTTCACTCCTCATGCACTGTTGTGCATGCCTTGTGCATCTCCATTCGTCCTCCATGCATCTGCTGGGCACCCCTCACCTGGGCATTGCTTGTACATCCCTGGGCATCTCCCACGTAGCTCCTGTGCAGCTCTTCTGTACCCTCCTGAATACTTGTGCATCCCTTGTGCACCCTTCATGCACCATTGTGCATGCTTTGTGCATTCCTCACGCATCCCATCCATGTTCCTCCTGCATCCTCTGGATATGCCCTTGGCAGCTGCTGGGCACTCATGCAGCACTCGTGTGTGATTGTGCATCCTTGTGCACCCAGATGCCCTCACACTTGTTCATATGTCCTTTTGGCATTCTCATGAATCCTCGTGCATGCTTGTGCGTGTGTGCATGCTCATGCATCTTTATGCACCCCCATGCATCGCCATGTACATTCATGTATCCTCATGAACACCCATGCACCCTCATGCATCATTGTGCAACCTTGCACACCCTTGTGTATCGCGGTGTCTACTTGTGCACTTTTGTGCATCCCAGCACAAGCCTGTGCATCATTGTGCACCCTCGTGCATCCCTGTATGTACTCATGCATCACTGTGCATCCTCATGCCCCCCCCCCCCACTTATGCATCATTGTGCATCCTCATTCATCCCTGTATGTGCTCATGCCCCCCATTACACACTTGTGCACCATCGTGTGCCTGTGTGCCACCATGTATATCCCTGATGTGTGCTGGTGCAACACCACGACCTCTCTCTTTGCAGTGCTCTGCCCAACCTGATATGACGCTGCCCTCCCGCCCCCGCCCTCCCCCTGCCCGCCTCAGCACACTCCGAAAATGGGGCCATACCTGAGGAAAACGGGTCGCCCGTGACCCCCAGCCCCCACCCTGCACTTCCCCCACCTTTGCACAGCTGGGAAATAAATAATTCGTTTCATTAATTAAGCAACCAGCCTCCAGCGTCTTCATCCCCTGGCTCGCAATGTTGTTTTGCAAGTTTTTGATGGAAAAAAGCAGTATTTTTGGGGCAGAAAACGCAGACAAGGAAGTTTTGCTGCGATGCTCATGAATATTCAGCTTTTTATAAAATATGCACATTTCTGGCTAACGAGGGGCTGGGTACTCCAAGCCGGCTGTAGTGCTGCAGGCAGCTGCCACAATCTGAGGGGCAAAATTTGACTGTAAATTCCATTTTGAGGGGATTTTTCCCATTTTTAGGTTTTCCAAAGCCCCATTTTCTGCTAGAGATTGTGCAAAAATCGTCTTTTTTTTTTTTTTCAGAAAATCAACTCATTATTTATTCAGAATAACTCATTAATTATTTTTCAGAAAATCAGCTCATTAGGGAATGAGGGGGAGGGTGTCCATTTTGGGGAGAATTGCTCATATTGGTGTTTGTCACTTATTTTGAGGGACAATCACTAATGTGGTGGTCATTGCTCATTTTTTGAGAGTGTCATCCATTTTCGGGGCAAATACGGTCATTTTGGGGGAGCTTATTGGAGAGATTTACTCATTTTGGGGAGGCTCGCTAGTTTGGGAGAGCATCATTTGCAGGTAGCATCACTCATTTTGGGGGGAAATTGTTCATTTGGGAGAAATGTTTTGGGGAGCATCATGGTTTTGAGAAGATCAATCATTTTGGGGAACCACTCCAAAAAAAAAACTTCATTTTGCAGAGCATAACGCATTTTGGAGCAGCATAACCCATTTTGAGGTGGGTGATTCCTTGGGGAGGTTCACTCCTTTTAGGAGAAAATAACTCATTTTGGGGTGTGCATCACCCATTTTAGTTCTATGCCCTAATTTTGGGGGTGGATTGGCCCTTTTGGGTAACATCATGCCTTTTTTTGGGAACATCACTCATGTTTTGAGAATATAACTCATTTTGGGGTGAACATCACTTATTAAACATTTTGGGAGTGCATCACACATTTTGGGGGAACATCATTCATTTTGGGTTAAAGTCACTTCTGAGTTCATTTTTTGGGGAGGATCACTCGTTTTGGGGGGAGCATCACTTTTGGAAGTGTACAACCTATTTGCACTGCATCACTCATGGATTTGGGTCAATTTGCACATTTTGGGGCTGATTTGCCTATTTGAAAGGCGTTTTCCTCATTTTGTGGGGTTATTTACCCATTTTGGGGCTCCCCCACTCACAGGAAGAAGCTGCCAATAAACTACAGCTGTGAAACCTCATCTCGTAGCACTTTATAATAAATGACCATGAATTAATAGTAAATTACAATGAGTCCTTTATGAAATTACAGATTACATTCACGCCAGATCAGTATCGAAAAATAGGCTTTTCTGCCCATTGCATCACTCATCTTTTTTTTTTTTCCCCAGCTGCTGTTGGGGTTTTTTTTCTTAACTCCTCAAGAGCCAAAAAAAATAATGACAAAGCCGGCAAAAAGCCGCCAAAAAAAAAATATCCTTCTTACAGAAACCTGCATTTACAGGAGGACCCTAGAGAAGAAAATTCTTTTTTTTATTATTTTTGCACCACATCAGCTGGGTTTCCTTTTGCATTTCCCCCTGCCCCATGTTTTAAGGCGAAATTCACCCTTTTGCTAGCATTTAAAAAAAATGCCAAAATACGTTGGGTTTTTTGCAGAGCTGCCATCCCCCAGGGCTCCTTTGGGGCAAAACACCACCATTTTCCCATGTGGGTGGACTGTATCAGGGTCTTTCCAGCAACAATACTGAATTTCCTTCTACCCGAGTGAATCTTGGGAGTCGCTACTCAATTTTTGGTGAAAATCTGCATTTTTTTATACCTCTTTTTTCCCCCATATTTTCCCGACTCAGTGCCAAAATGCCCTGGGAGAGTCTTGCTCCCGGCAGCCTTTGCCCCAACTCTGTGTCCAATCTCTGCCCTTAAGGGTGAGGATGGGTTTTTTTTCCCAATTCGATGGGGTTTTAGCACATAAATTAAAGGAATTGGGGAAATTTCCTCCTTTTTCCAGAAAATTGCATCTGGAGTCACCAAACAACTGCATCACTGGGGTCAAAATGGGGAGGTTTGGGCAAGCCGGTGGGTCACGAGTGCAAAAACCTCCTCAGATCCAACCTGAAACAGAATTTGCACCCGCTGATTATTTTTTTTCCCTGCGCACTGTTATTTATGCCTGTGAATCACCTTTTGGGGGGAAAAGCCCCAAAAGCATCAGTCCTGGGGTTGTTCGGGGTTCTTTTTGCACCAAGAAATCTAAGTGATGGACCCAGTGGCCCACGGTGAAAACCCGCCGTTGTCCAAAAGCATTCAAGCATTGTCTGGGGCAAACAGCTTCCCCTAAAAACGCTTCTTCTTACCAAAAATGACGGGGAGAAGGGGAAAATAAGAATAAAACCTGGAAAAAAAATTTAGTCTGGCCACAATATGTGCCTTGTAAACATGTGTCCTTCACTTCCATATGCCAATGTGGTAGTCCCCATGCTCCTGTGGGCATCTGGGGCATCCACCAGCGCCTCCAGTTTGCTTTTTTCTCACCACTTTTGTTTTTGTTCTTGCCGGCTTTTTGGCATTTTGGGGGGAGTTTTGTTTCTGGTGCCGTCAGTGATTTGGGGAGGGTGCAGGAGGAGCTATTCCAGTGAGTCACTGTGGTCCAAGCCAAGGTCTGCACCAGGCGCCGCCGGAAGGCCACCAGGCTCTTCCTCCAACTCTTCCTCCTCTTCTTCCTCCTCCTCCATCTCATCCTCATCCTCGTCATCCTCCTCCTCTTCTTCGGTGCCATCAAGGGAGTCTTCATGGGCTGCCAGCATGGCTTGCTGCATGGCCATGGTGGCCGTGGCTGATGAGAGGGGTTGCAGGTTGTCCATGCTGAGTGAGCCTGAAATTAAAAATATATAGAAACTCCCGAGCTAATATAGAAAGGAAAAAAACAATGCATAAATCAAGAGTAACCCAAGCAAAAAGCTATCTAGAGAGAGAGCACCCCATAAGGTGTCCCACCTGCCCCAGCCACTCCCCAAGGTCCAACACTTAATTTTTTTACCTAATGTATCTTCATTAAATGACAAGAAACATTTATTTTTGAGCAAGCAGATGCCCAAATTTTTGTGCAGAGCTTGTCTTCATCTTAATTTCCACCTTCCTTTCTCTTCATCTTCTCTGTTCTCATCTTGAGTGGTCCCTTCTCATCTCCGCTCTCTTCACCTCTCTTCATCTCTGCACCTCCTCATTTTCATCATCTGTTCTCTCTTCATCTTCTTTTCATCTTCTTTCTTCCCAATCTTGTCTCATCTGTCTTCTCATCTCATCTTTTCATAGAATCATAGAATTGTCTCGGTTGGAAGGGACCTTTAAGATCATCTAGTCCAACCATCAACCTACCTCTGACAAAATAAAACCTCACTAAACCATGTCTCTAAGCACTATGTCAACCCGTCTTTTGAATCCCTCCAGGGATGGTGCCTCAACCCCTTCCCTGGGCAGCCCATTCCAATGCTTAATAACCCTTTTGGTGTCAAAATTTTTACTCATCTCCAATCTGACCTTCCCCTGGCGCAACTTGAGGCCACTTCCTCTTGTCCTGTTCCTTGGGAGAAGCGACCGACCCCCCCCGGCTACTTTTCAGGGAGTTGCAGAGAATGATAAGGTCTCCCCTCAGCCTCCTTTTCTCCAGGCTGAACATCCCCAGCTCCCTCAGCCTCTCCTCATAAGGCTTGTGCTCCAGACCCCTCACCATCTTTGTTGCTCTTCTCTGGACCCGCCTCCAGCACCTCAATGTCTTTTTTGTGGTGAGGAGCCGAAAACTGGACACAGGACTCAAGGTGAGGCCTCACCAGTGCCCAGTACAGGGGGACGATCACCTCCCGAGTCCTGCTCACCACACTGTTCCTGACACAGGTCAGGATGCTGTTGGCCTTCTTGGCCACCTGGGCACACTGCTGGCTCATGTTCAGCCGACAGTTGACCAACACCCCCAGGTCCTTTTCAATCAGGCAGCTCCAGCCACTCTTCCTCAAGCCTGTAGCGCTGCAGGGGTTTGTTGTGACCCAAGTGCAGGACCTGGCACTTGGCCTTGTTGAAACTCTTTTTCTCATTTTGCCTCCTCTCCCCATCTTCCCCATCCTCCTTCATCCCCTCCCCAGAACTCAGGATATATTCCAAGTGGGTGATCCTTGAGAGCTGTTCCTATGCCGAGGAGATGGCCATGCCCCATTGCCAGCATCCTTGTGATGGCCAACTGGCAGAACCTTCTTGTATTCCTCTTCAACATGTTTTTTTCCCCACAGGGTGATAAAGGGCTCTAGAAATCCTTAATTAATAATTAAGGCCATAATTTCATGCATAGCCACCCCATCAAGGAAGAGCAGGAGCCATCAGGGTTTGTCCTTACCATCAGGATTTGTCCCCGAGTTGCCACCCTGCTGCTGCAGGACGCCAGCAGCAATGGAGTTGGGCCAGAACCGCTGGGTGGGTCGGTGCTGAGATTTTATTTTCTTGGCTTTGGGGGCTGGGTCTGGGTTGCTGGCATCAAGCATTGGCTGCAGGATGCGCCGTCGGGCATTAATGAACCTTTCCAGGGAAAAAGAGATCATTCAAGTAAATCAGAGTTGTTATATCAATTTGAGTTAAAACAACAGACATTATAACAATTACATGAGTTGCAATATAAAAACCTTTTGAAAGTGACTGCATGGTCCAAAAACTGGGGGATTACCCTATTTTATTTGTCTGTAGCACGTGACACTGATTTTTTCCAGCTATGAGTTGGAGGCTGCTACATACTGGGTTTGCCAGGAGAGGGCAATGAGACATTGCAAATGAATGCCATCCATTAAGCGCACACGGGTCTGTCTCCCAGAAGTCATCTGTAACTGCCCAAATTACCCCCAAAAAAGCATTTTATAGCACCAAAATAGCATGAATAAAATTCTAAAGCCAGAAAGATGACTGCATGGGCCAGCAATGCACTCACCAGTTGTTTACTTGCAAGAGGGTCAGGTTGGTTTGGGCAGCGATTTGCCTCTTCTCGTCCTCTGTAGGGTAAGGGTGCTACAATAAAAAAGAGATGGGGCAGCAAAATGACATCCCTGTGTGCAAAACAGCAACTCTGAGTGAAGGAAAAAAAAACCACAACCCCCTTTTTTTTAATTTTTCCACCCCAAAATTGGTGGCTTCTTGCATTTACAAGATGCAAGGCTTAAGGGTGGCATCATTGTTTCCCCGGTGTCCTTAAGGGTTTTCCAAGGCTTTCCATCAAAGGCTTTTCCTTTATTTTTTTTTAGTTCTAGCGATTTTCTAGTAATGGTTGCTGGTAAAGGTGGGATTTAGGCTTCAAAACAGGCTGTCATCCACAATGCTCCTTGTCAGATGCATCAATAAAGCATGCTGAAAGAAGAGACTACCAGCACTCACAGCTTTAACAACCTCCTCCCAACTATGCTAAAATCCTCCTTTCCAACATTAAAAATGAAATTAGTGTCAAAACAGCATGTCATTTTTGGTGCCCCAAGCCAGCACCGGTGTTGATTCACATGACTTGTTTCCAAGCTGTTTGCCCCCAAAATAGTGTGATTTCCTTGGCAAAGCTACCCAAAGTCACGTCATGTGACTCCTGTCCCAACAGGGCCTCAGGAATGCCAAAGTGGTTAAAAATGGCTCTTTATTGGCACGAGTATCCCCATTTTTGACATGTTATTTTCAGCATTCCTTCCTCCTGCTGGTGCTACAAAATTTCCAAACCCAATAAAATTATGAGCATCAATGCTATTGAGTTAAAAATCACATCATCTATGATGTTAGATGGAGAAATCAAATCCCATGGAGAAGCCCAACCATCTTCTGACCATGAGGATCAGGCTGAGAGCAAAATGTCTAACCACCCAGCAGAAGCACAATATCTTTTAGTTTTTCAGTCCAGTTTTGGAAATCTCAAACCATGAGGTTCTCTTGGCACTCGGCAGAAAGTTGCTTTTCAGTTTCTGCTCTTCTAAATCTTTTTTCTGCTTGTAAATCTGCAGTCTAGCTCTCCAAAAGCATGGGAGATGCACGAGGCAGCTTGGGATGGTGGCCCAACACAGCGATGCTCATCCTCGATGCAATAAATCCAAAATTTCCCATATATTAAAAAAAAAAAGGCTGGAAACTTCCCAACCAGCTCCTGCTCCATGTCCCGAGTCATGTTTTATGCCAAGTTGCATCTTGGACGTGTTATTTTCTGTATTGCTGTTATCTGTGGCTGTCCCACCTTCCTGGATACCCTCATGCAAATCTTTGCAACCAGCTTTCAAGTGATTTCTTGGCCAAATTATTGAGGCAAAAGGAATTTTTTAAAGCTTTTAGCCCTTCTTCCAGCTCTGCAGGTGGGAGAACAGTCTCCTTGCATGAAATTATCCCAGTTTCAGCCTCTGAGCTCCCTCTGTCTACCTACATCTCCACCGCCAACCACCCAGATAGGGCGATACTGCAATTCTGCATTTCAGCTGATTGCTGACGTGCCACAACCCTACCTGTGGGGCAGCTTTCACAACCAGGCTTGCTGGAAAGTGGTATTTTGGAGCTGTTAACTGGAAAAAAGTGCTTCATCATCCAACTGCAATAATTTGTGGAAGGCTGCCTCTGTTTTTGTTTGCTTCTTTATGCATGAAGGGAGTATTTTTGCCATCTGCAGTGAAAACAGTCATCCCCAAAATACTCCCAAAATAAAATCAAAACCACTTTGTGCCTCTGAATATAAATTCAGACAAAGCACCACCTCGATTTGTTTGCTTTGGGGTTTTTTTGCCTCTATTTTCCCCGTTTTTCAGGGTATTTTGGTGTCTATAGTGCTCACCATGAGATGCTGGAAGAGCCACGAGCGCATGATGTTGGTGGCATGTTTGGGCAGGACTCCCCGCTTGTTCTTGGACTTCTTGTCCTCACCGTCGAGGAGAGAGGAGAGATCCAAGTTCACCTGCCAAGGGAGAGGAATAGGGAGAGAACTGGCTGAAAACAGCAATGGACAACTCAAAACCTGAGCAAAACCAACCGAAAAAATGAGGAAAACCAACCCAAAATGAGAGTGGGGTGAGTGCAAAAACCCCATGAATTAGTAGGAGCAACCAAAAGCCATGTTTACCCCC